ACAACAAGTTGCTCAAATAGTTGTTCATAATTGGTGAAAGCCCACTATCGTGGAGTTTATCCGAAAGGACATCGATACAAACAGAATCAAAAGCCCCCTTAATATCCAAGAAAACTGAACCCATTTGCTGTTTTTGCGCATAGGCCAGTTGAATTTCAGTTGAAAGCAACGCAAGACAGTCGCTCGTTCCTTTGCCTCTCCGAAATCCAAATTGCGTATCTGAAAGTAAACCATTCGACTCGACTCATTTGTCTAGACGAAAAAGAATCATTTTCTCCAACAATTTCCGTATACAGGACAGCATCGCGATGGGACGGTACGAGTTATAATCCGACGCGGGTTTACCGGGTTTTCGAATGGCGATAACTCTTATAGTACGTTCAGACTACAGAGTTATAACATGTTATAGCGCTATCTTGATGGTGGTTTCTGTGTTGCAATTATTTGACAACCGTTATAACATGTTATAACTCTCCAGTCTGAACAAGGCATTACTTGCCTCCAATCATCCGGAACAATGTTGTGCTCCAGAAATTGATTGAATAAGTTCAACAAGCGTCTCTTCGCGACGTCTGGGAGATTTTTGAGCAAGTTGAACTTGATTCTATCCATTCCTGGAGCTGAGTTGTTACATGAGAGGAGAGCAAGTGAGAATTCCACCATCGAAAACGGAGAATCTATTTCGTTACTACCCGACGGACTATCACGAACGTTGGTTTGAACCGACACCGAATCCGGGCAAACTTTCTGCGCGAAGCTGAATATCCAACTGTCTGAGTACTCCTTGTCTTCGTTGACCGGTGATGACGCGTTGCGCATTCTCCTGCCGACATTCCAGAGTGTTCTCATCGAAGTCTCTCTCGACAAACCATCGACGAACCGACGCCAGTAACCGCGTTTTTTGGCTTTAATCAAGCTCTTAAAAGTTTTCTCGAGGTCGGTGTACCGCTCGAAATCCTCGACCTTACCGTGTTTGCGGAAGCGTTTAAACGCGGCGGACTTCTCGCTGTTCGCGTCGGTGCAATCCTTATCCCACCACGGAGTGAGAGGTCGTTTGCGAACGAAAACACCCGGAACGCGTTTCGTCTGTGCTTGAAGAGCGCAGTCAACGATAAGTCGCGATAAAAAGGAGTACTCATCCAGCGGAGGGAGTATGTCAACCGAATCAGTACCACCGAGAACCGCGGACGCAAATTTTTGCCAGTCGATGTTTTTCGTGAGGTCGTACGCGATGTCAACCGAGCGAGTGGAAGATGAACCATTGGTAATAGAAATTTTGATTGGCAAGTGGTCACTACCGTAGGGATCTTGAATTACTTTCCACGAGCAATCCAACGATAGTGAACTCGAACTGAGGGAGAGGTCTAATCTACTTTCTCTTGCTGGAGGTTTGGCCACTCGTGTTACTTCCCCAGTGTTTAGAATTGTCATATTGAAGTTATCGCAAAGGTCGTATATCAAGGTTGAGCGGTTGTCATCGTACAGTTCCCCCCAGCCTGTACCGTGGGAGTTAAAATCTCCTAATATCAACCGAGGCTCAGATAAAGCTGAGCAGATATCTGAGAGACCTTGGCGAGAAATCGCAGTTCTTGGAGGAAGATATACTGAGGCAATACTGAGGCTTTTACCTCGAATATTTACCTGACATGCGACAACTTCAATGCCTGTCACGGAAGGCAGATCGATTCTATGAAAGGAATGGAGCTTATGAATCCCGAGAAGCACCCCTCCATACGAATCTGCTCGATCAAGGCGAATAATGTTAAAATCGTGGAAAGGGAGATCGGTGTCTGAAGAAAGCCATGTTTCACAAAGAGCAAATGCATCACAAAGTGAGTTGTGAACTAAAAATTTGAATGTGTCAAGTTTCGGTATAAGACTTCTACAGTTCCACTGAAGAACAGAGATCATATCCCCGACCTCATTCGGAAAATTATCCATCAAAGGATATGATCGATGCAAGGAAGGACCACCTAGAAGCTAGTTGCTTCAAAAGAGTTTTCACGAATGGAAGCACTAAATTAATAATGTTCCGAGTTGAGTCAGAGACGTTGAATATATTGAAGATGCTCTCCACAATTTCAGAAAACGTGAACATGGCATCATGTTCTTGCTGATTATTCAGCTGTTTTTCTGGCTGAAAAACTGGGATATCTGGGGTTTTAGATGATCCCGGAAGTGGCGGAAAGTCCTTGTTAAAATTACAAGATTTAAATCCCGGTGGTGGGGGTTTCGGTACATTTCCGCTACCTCTTAAATTTGTCAAGGTAGGTTGGTAGTCCATACGAGAGGCCTTACGAGGTTTTTGGGTGACGTTTATTTTGGACCGCTTCCTCGTGTTGCCATTAAAGACAAAAGGACTACTCTCACCCACCTCTGAGTCAGAGCCCTGATCATCATCTGGCAGGAGGTGGAATGTGTTGTTGCTTTTTGGGGTGGTTTGGGAAGATGAAGCGGTCGTTTTTAAAATTTCTGCTAACGAGCGCTTAGAGCGAGCTTGCAAAGACCGCTTTAGTTTTTCTCCCTGCTGTTTGTACTTCGGGCAATCACTCAGAGCATGCGGAGCATCCTTACAGTAAACGCATTTTGGGGTAGCATGACAAGGACCCTCCGTATGCTCCTCCCCACATTGATCGCACCGCGGTTTGTTGGAACAAAAGTCCGCGGTGTGACCTAGTTGTTTGCATTTCAAGCAATTCATTACCCTCGGTACAAACAAGCGTACAGGTAGTCGAACCTTCCCAATTGTGACGTAGTCAGGTAATGCCGATCCTGAAAAGGTCACACGAAACGAATCTGAGAGGGTATACTTTTTTTTTGTTCCTATGTGCGACACTGACTGCAGTTGAATGCAGTCCAGTATCTTGACTTTCGGGAGGGCACGGTTTTTGAAAATGCCGAAAGATTCGACTTGCAGGAAATCCTCACAAGTCAGACTCGATTCGGTGACCACTCCTTCAATTTCTACGTCACAACTGGGGACGTAGACTCGATATTCGATCGAAAAAAGCTCACAGGCAACAATCCGGTTTGCCTGTTTCAGGTCATCAACGGTAACGCGCAGTTTGTTTGACGTTACCTTAAAGATATCGGTTACGGCCGAAAAATGTTTTGTCAGATCCTTCGAAATCCGAGAAATATTCAAAGGTTTTTGTTTGGGCCGGAAAAAAACAACCCACGGACCTTTTGAGTCGCTTGGGTAAGCTTTATGGCGGGGGGTCGCAGAAATTTTTAAGGGAACGGTTGGAGTAGGGGGAACAGGTGGACGAGGGGGCGATGGTGGAGAAGGGGGGGCAGGGGGTGAAGGAGGTTGTTGTTTAGACATCACCTTTGGGTAAGCTCCAGTGCTCGTTTTGGGGTCCTAAGTAGAATCCCCTGAGGTATCCATTTCCTCTTCAGTGAGAAGCAGATTTTCGAATGATGGAGATTTAACAGACTCATCATCGGAGATATCTGCTAGCGAAATACCCCCGCCATCATTGGTTTCATCCATTGCGGGGTCTTAAGTACCTCCGCAACGGATTTCGACATAAAAAAGGAAATATATATATATATTTATATATATATATATATATATATATATATATATATATGCGTTGAGAAAAAAAAAATAATAAATAAAAAAAAATAAGAAAAAAATAAACTTATCCAAAAAATATAACGGTAAAAATAATACTTAATCCAACAAAGCAAAAAAAAAAAAAACTTTAAAATGGAAAAAAAATAATGCCAGGAAAGTTAATCAACACTATAGGGAGATTAATCAACTTGCAAAAAAAAAAACAGTAAATGAAAAAAAAAGAAAAAAAAAAAAATGAAAATTTTTTCAGGAAAATACAAAAAGGTGTCAGAAAAGTTAATCAACACTGTATGGAGATTAATCAGGTTGCGGAGAACGGAAGATAACCGTCTGTTACTTAACTCTCCACACAAGCGCACGGAGTGTGGCTGATGACGATGATCTATCCTGATGTGAGAATGATGGTGATGATCGTTCTATTGTTGCCCTCGAGTGTTTGCAACAAAGCACCGGCTGGCTCGCCGGCTGGTGAACTCGATGACCTTGAGTTTGCCGTTTCGTGATGCGATGAAACTTGTTGGTTAGAGATGTACAGCTCATCTGCCGGACTCGGCCGGAAATGACTGCTTCCTTTCTCGAACGATTGAGCGGCAATTACAATTCCGCGATGCTCACTGCACTGTTGTATACTACAACACCACTCAGTATGAAAGCGGATTGAAAAAAAAAACCTCAATAGGGGAAAAAAACTAGTACCGATTACGGAGTGCAAGCAATACTTGACCGAAACAGTCGAGCGTTCGATGTGGAATGCATCTACCTGTTGGTGTCATTAATTTTTATAAGTGAGCTTTTATTCGCGAGAAATCGATAGCTAAAGCCATTGTTTACAAATGCAATTGCGCCCTTTTGAAATGTTGGCACTGGATTGATCAATGTAGATGGTCAAGTTTTGAACCCATCACAGCATATGGACGATCAAATAATGTAAGATACTGTGTTAGCCACAGCATAGTTCTGTCAAAACGTCAGCATTTTCATTGATCCATTTAATTCGACGTCCTTTGAGTAAGGTTTTGCATTGACCAGAGGTTTAAAATGCTTATCATTTTAACGAATATGTATAAGCATCTGGGGCCTTATTACGGGTGTCACTACATGGTGATAATGAAGTGATACTCAGACTCAGATATTTTTTTGTATGAGAATTTCGTTCGAAACGAAATACAGAATAGGGGTGTAAGAGCCGTGATTGCCGTACACATCAAATAGGAATCACTTCACCGTGACGATAAGTGACAAGTTTTCATCGTGAAGTGACATCGGTAATAAGCCCCCTGGTTTTAGTTTTTCCGCTCCAGAAACTATACATCCAACGGTATTCAGAACAAAGATGTGGTGAAAATATAGGATTTCGAAAGAAAAAATTTAAACGGATGCCTAACTTGTTTTTTTTTGTCATGGAATCACGCAAATCACCATCTATTACATATATTTGTTTTATAACATAGTTTTGATGAATAATTTTGAGAATAATATATATGATTAAAATATGTTAACGAATTTTCAGTTCAGTTCGATGATTGGTGTAATTCCAATCATATTTAATTAATATATCAATATGTTAGTATAATAAGAGTAGGTATAAAAAAGAATAAAGAGACACATATATTAGGGTGCATAATGCACTTCAAACAAAGAACATTGGATGACCGTCAATGATCTCCGTCTTGATCTGCATCCTTTGGTACTCGTTCAGCAAGTTGTTCATGTTGAGATTCCGGCTATGGAAGAGGAAGGAAGTAGTTGGACCAGTTAGTTAGCTTGCGTTTAACCGCAACCGAATATAACTACTTACTCTTTAATGTAAACGCGTCCCCGGTAAGCGGCCAGATGAGCGTAGTATGTCGGAGCCGGATAGGATACGGATCGATTGCAGCGGGCAAACATGTGGCACAGATTATATGTGATTGCCTGCAGCTGATCCGGGTGGCAATTTTCATCATCCCATAGGACGCAGTACTTAGTCGGTTTGGCAACACCCTGGACGGCAGCATGCGACACCAGGAAGAACTGGTACTGATTGGGCGCAGTAATGTAACGATCGACGATGGTACCCGGAGGTACATTGTTGTTTTTTCCCTCGGTTGGACATCTGGCCGTTGGGAAGAATCGGGCATGATGTCGCTTTTGGACGACAATAAACGTAATGTTTGGTTTATAATTCGGATTAGTGCTGACCGTTGCCGCTGCCGCTTGGATCGCTCTGAGTTCAATAGTCAAGATTTCTGAAAATTGACCCTCGGATACACCGTCACGGTAGTACATGATTAGCTCAGGCAATGTTTGATTCTGTTGCTGGAACTGCTTCAGCTGCTTGCAAACGATGTTTTCCAAATCGCGAATCATTTCATCCTTGGCGTTTTGCAAACGATAACAGCAATTATAGCGGAAACCCTCGAGATCGTACGAGGCCGCCACTCCAACCACGCTTGGAATGTTGGTCTGCTCCGGCGAGGGATGGGTAACGTCGGCTCCGATATACATCACGGTTTTCCGAGAGATCGGAGGTTTACAATTGGGTGCCAGCAGATGATTTGAACCGTTCGTTTTGGCGTTGATCTATGAGAGATACGTAATATGATTCAGTATAAAACAAATTGGACCTTCAACCAAACTCTTACCTTCAACCAAATGTTGCTGATGGTGCTCATATCGTTGCGTTTTCTGTCCAGCGTAAAACTCTTGATGCACTGCGTGAGCACGCCAACCTGTAGTTCAGCCTTTTGCTTAACCTTGGCGTAAACGTCACCATCTCTACCGGGATTTGGAATCACTACGAACACCAAATCCATTTTTTGGCGTTTCAGGTCGGTGAAAATGTTGTCCAAATCTCGAATGCAAGTTTTCATGTCTTTCGGTTCGTAGAAATTGTCTTTCATGGAGAACGGCTGCAACTGGACCCCTTGTTTTTGCGACATCTGGTAGATAGCCCTTCCGAATTCTCCAATTGCATCCGGACGGGTTCTACCGTCTAGGTTCAGTATGGTCCAGCTAAGGGCACGTCTCACCACATCTGTGCTCGGAACAATGAAATTATAATTATCCGCTCGCCAAACGCCTCTCATAGGCTTTGCGCGTTGCTGATTGCGATAAACCAAATCAGGAGGATCGATGATCCGGCCGTCGACTTGTTCGAAAGCGGTACCAACGCTGACTCCAAATTCTTTGATTGTCGGAGCACTGTTGTAGCCGATCTGGTTGAATAGATTCATGATCTTGCTCTTCCTCGTGGCGGTATCCGTTGCCGATTTTTTGATGATGTGTTGGGTGCACGTATCAGGGTGTTTCTTTGTGAGCGCTTGTCCACGAGGAACGCTGCACAGCTCAATCGGAAGCATCACGTTACGAATGGTGCTTCCGACGTGAATTACCGGTAGATTCGGATAACGAAGTGGTTTCTTTTGCTGCCGGAAGTACTGTTCGATGGTCAGTTCGGTACCATTCTCAAGTTTAAATTTCTGTTGACTGGCCGGTCCCTTGATGCCGTTGTACTTGTACAATTTGTCAACTCCGTCTGGTCCGGTATAGGAAACCTCCATTCCCTTCAGGTAGTTGTGCAACTCCATGGCCATCCAATCGGGAACGCGATCCGGAAGCTGTTGTCGGTTGAAGTCGCTCAGGATCTTCAGGATTGGGCCCCCGCTAGGGAACGCTTTGTGCGATACATCAATGTTCAAAAATGGCTTTGCACCTAGCAATGCCGATTGGAACAGACCGTACCACAACTCGTGGTTTGCTCCGATATCATCCGGCCTGTCCGGAATCACGTAAATCGATTTCTTGAACTGCAATGAGATAGTCATTATTTTTAGAACATACCATATATACATATCTACCAGAGGTTCCCAATCGAATTTAAAAATCGTAAATTGAAAGAAAAAAGTGCCAACCTAGGGTGCGTGATAAATATGTTCCATTGTTTATGCTGGCCTTGATCAGCGAATCAAAACAAACGACGACTGCCACGATAAACTCTCTCACACACGATAAACAATCTGTTCTAACAAACGCGGTTATATCTGCTATAGTTGCTTCCCTAAGCGGACCCCTCGCGTCTTATCTCTTATGTTAATTGACTTTCTGAATTTTCTTATTGAAGTTCATTTGAAGATTGTTTAATAAATAACTGAATTCTATAATCTACCTAGACAAACATTGTTTATTGTTTATTGCAAAATTCAACTGACAAATACTGTCTAATTGAATAAAACTTAAACTAAATAGTTACGGTCAACGGTACGGAAAAGGCCAAGTAGCCGATGACGAAACACGTCAGCTGATACATTGAAGTCGAACATATAAAAAAAGTTGTTGAATTGCCGGCTGATTGCTCGAATTGGCTCGTGTTGTGTATAATTCCGGCTCCGTGGTTCCAAAAACAGAAAGTCGCGTTGACGAAGAGACCTCTCAGGGGCATACATATTTAGCTGTGACAGCAGTGTTGGGCAATCAATGTCACCTGTAAGCAGCTTTCCAGCGAACATAGCTTGAGCGACCGTCCGTCTCACCTCTAATGGCTCGATTCCCAGGAGACGGCAACGCTCCTCGTACGGTGGCAAGTTCGTTGGGTCACGCCAGTTGAGGAAACGAAGAGCATATCTCACAAACTTGCGTTGAACGGATTCAATTCTAGTGATCCAGCTAGCATGGAAAGGGCACCAAACAACTGAACTTGACTCCAATAAGGATCGCACAAGCGAGCAGTAAAGTGACCTGAGACATAGCGGGTCACGAAACTCGTCGGCAATTTTGAAAATAAAGCCCAATTGTCGATTAGCTCTGGAGATGATGTCATTGTAGTGGATTCTGAAAGTGAGTCTGCAGTCCAAGGTAACGCCGAGATCCTTTATGTGCTCTACACGAGCAAGACAGCGTCCGTAGAGAGTCAAACATGATTGGTTCGATTTTTCGGTGATAGGAAATAATGTTACATTTTTCTATGCTTAGACTCATCAAATTTCTTGAGCACCAGTCAGCAAAAATACCTAACATATTCTGGAGATACCAGCAGTCCGAGAGGCTTTTAATAATTTTGTAGATTTTCGTATCATCTGCATAGAAAACGCGGCATCCTGATGGTATCAGCAAGGCGACATCGTTTAAAAAGATCGAAAATAGTAGCGGTCCTAGGTTACTGCCTTGCGGGACTCTCGAGTTGTTTGAGAAAACATCCGATTCCTACGCGCCAATCTTGACATGTACATAGCGATTCACCAAGTAAGATCTGAACCAATCCACAGCAGTTGACGAGATGCCAAGTATCTCCAGCTTGGCCAGCAAGATATTATGGTCCACTGTGTCAAATGCAGCTTTTAGATCCATATACGCCGTATCGACTTGCCATCCTGAATCCATGCATCGCAGACAGTTAGAAGTGAACTGCACCAGGTTCGTGGACACGGAGCGCTTCGGGTAGAAACCGTGTTGTTCTGTATCGATATAATTTTTGCAGCGTGCGAACAGAGCACCATTTATGATAATCTCGAACAGTTTTGAGCAGGCACACAGGGAGGTGATTCCACGATAATTTATGACATTCCGTTCATCTCCTTTTTTGTGCACTGGGAACAGATAAGAAAGTTTCCAGCGGTAGGGGAACTCACATTGCTGTGCCGAGAGATTGAATAGCCTCGCAAGTGGAAGGCAGAGATTGGCTACACAACGTTTTAGAACTGATGACGGAATGCCGTCAGGACCGGAGGCGAACGAGAGCTTCAGTTTGCGTGTTGCGGCTATCACCATGTCTCCTGAAATGCGCGGAATAACGAAACTAAACACGTCACGTGGCATCCCAACAGCAGCATCCAGCACTTGTGTTGGCGAAGCGGAGAAATCGTTGAACACTTGCTTGAAATGACGAGCAAACAAGTCGCATTTTTCTCTTTCACTATTAGCCGAGTCATTCCCGAGAAACATGGAACAAGGCAACCCGGATTCCTTCCGTTTTGAGTTGACAAACGAACAAAAACTTTTCGGATTCGTGCGAAGGTTCGCTTCCGTGCGTCTCACGTGTCGATTATAGAGAAAACGATTGTAATTTCGATAACTAAGACTCGCAAAATTGAACAGTCGTTTGTAGTACGGCGAGCGAGAGTTACAATACTTTCGGAGGGCGACAGAGCGTTGACGTTTTAGCACGCGTAGGCGTGGGTTAGACCATGCAGTCTTTAGCGGAGGTCGTCGAGCTAGGACAATGCGGAAAATAGCATCTTCCAGTGCAGCACTGAAAAAATCCACTGCATCATTCACGCTAGCAGCAGTTTCGATAAATTGCCAATCAATTTCCGCAAGCGCATTGTTCAATGCAACATAATCGGCCCGGCGAAAGTCCAAAGAGTAGCACTCAGATGACGGCGTAAAAGAATCGGCGCAGGTAAACTAAATGACACGACGAGAGCGGGATGATCGGCATCTAGATCAATCAGTGGCTCAACCGGCAAGGAAACAGAAGTGCCCGGTAGTGCGGAATCATTTGCCAGGACAAGATCTAGCAAACGTCCATTTCGATTCGGAAAAGTATTCACTTGTGTGAACCCGTAAAAGTTAAAACCGTCCAAAAGAGCACAGCAAGCAACCGGCATATGCGAAAGCAGTGGATCAATTAATGGCGTGCCACTGTCTGTAAAGCGCCACTGCAGACCAGCTTGATTGTAGTCACCAAATACGAAAGCGGGAGAACAGGGACTTAATTGTGACGAAATTGACCCTAACGATTCCACATGCTCACGCGATTTTGACTGTTTAGGGCAGACCGGTCAGTTCTGAAGACGGAATAGGATGACTTGAAAAGTTGCGATGAGTAAATTCGGTCGTCCAGCCACGTTTCCGTCAGCACAATCAAATCATATTCGGCCTCCGCAACAGCCAGAAAAAACGAGTCGATTTTAGTCCTCAGCCCACGCACGTTTTGGTAGTAGATCCGGAGACCATTGGAGGAGCAATCACGGGAACTAGAAATCGAAAGGACATCAGGTACCGAAAGCTCGAAATCGCTAACATACTCGCCTGAGGTTGCAGGCCGGAAGCCCCCGATGCCATCACCGACCACAGGACCGGGACGATGACGATGGCGGATGTCTACAGCAACAAGCGCGACTGGGTCGGGAGGTTCGGAAGCTTCAACTGCGGGAACAAAAGGGAAGTTCCGAAAACTTCTGGAAACTTTGGTGGACTTCAGGCAAACTTCAAAATTTTCAAAGTGGTTCCAAAAACTTCAGGAAACTGCAGGAACTTTTAAGAAAATTTGAGAAATTCAGGGATATCCAGCGAACTTTAGAGAAGTCAAAATAATTTCAGAGATGTGGAGGAAAATTGACATTTTAAAGAAATTCCAAGTACCTCAAAGAAGTTAGACTAGATGGCTTTAGGGAATTTCAGAGATGTTGACGGCACTTCCAATAACTTCATAACTTCGCGAAATCCAAGAAATTCCGGACTTTCAGGGAAGTTCAATAATTTGTATGGGTTTGGTCCGATAAATTCCAGTCAACTCCATAAACTTCAGAAAAACTTCGAGAATTTTTTATACAGTTCTATTTAGTTCAGGGTAATACCAACTACTTCAATAGAAATGAGAGTACTTCAGGAATGCTTCGAGAGCAGAAGGACTGATCAGAGAAACTAAGAAGAGTTCAACTAATTTCAAGGAAATTGAAGAATGTTTAAGAAGTTCCAAGAAACTCAGGGAATTTCCGAAACTTCATCAAAGTACCAAGACCTTTATTTAAATTTCAGAAACATAAGAGATGATCATCAGATGAGCATCAGGAAAATGTGAGATCATTTTAAGGGAGTTCCATGGTTTTCAATGCAGTTTAAAGAACTGCAAAAAATGCAGGAACTTCAGCGACGATCAGATTATGTTCAAGAAAATCGAGAGATCTTTTAAAATGTTCAGAAATCTTCAAGAACGTCTAGAGACCTTCAGAGAATTGTAGGCCAAAATTAGTAACCCCAAGACTACTTAGCATAGATCAACTACATTTTATCCACAACGAATTAATGTACATCCCTACCACTATCTACGAAATGTGTAAACTGTGTAGATTTCGAACGAACTGACAAACTCTCCAAACTCAGACAATAAAACATTTCATACTTCCGCTTTGCAAAGTTCAGACGCGTTTTATTTCGTTTTTTACGTTGGTGACGGCAAACATTGAGAAACATCTCAATTTTAAGGGCTACAATTTTCTCAGAAGTGGGATTAGTATCCGCGAGTGTTTCTGTTGAAATGCCGGACGACGAATCTCACGGATTCGATGAAGACGAGTTGGTGCAGCGAGATGAAAACCAAGGAGGACAACATGGCGGCGGCGGTGTTTTGGACGGTGCAAGCAGCGGAAACGGTGCAAGCGGTTCGCGTGGTGCGCAAACGGGCGAGCGGGAGCTGCTGACGCTGATGAGGCGATTGTTGTTTATTCGTGACGTGGCAGTGCAGCCGAATAATCAGGAACATCGAGAAAGACAGTTGCACCCGGATGAAGTCAGTAAATTGATTCCAACGTTTTCATGTGGAAGAGATGTCAGGAAATGGTGCTCCAATGTCAACCATTTCAAAACCTTGTATCACTGGACAGATCAAACGACGCTGATTTATGCTTCTTGTCGTTTGGAAGGAGCAGCTAGACAATGGTATCACAGTGCGCAAATGGGGATTGCAAATTGGGCGCAGTTTCAGCAGAAAATCCAAGTGGCATTTCCGGATAGCGAAAACGAAGCGGAGGTTCATTTGGCGTTATCCAACGTCGTGAAATCAAGGGATGAAACTTATGAACATTTCGTT